TCATTACACCACGACTTTCACATTCCGTTCGCACGGGATGTTTAGATATGTGCGAAACACAAAACGGGATCCAACTTTTTTTTTTTTTTTGTGGAGTGACTTCGTAATGGGCGCCCCGTCACAATGCGAATGAATAAAGCAAATCTGTTGGCGTTGCAGACCGATAGTAAGCCATATCCAAGCCCTTTTGCTCCTGGCTGGCCCTTTTTTCATATGTCTGCCCATCACGCCGCCCACACGCCCTCCTCCGGTCCCCTGGCAAAGCTGGCCAACCGCAGTCGGTCGGTTGGCAACTTCCAGACCCGACCAGCATGACAAAGGGCGGTTGTCTAGGAAGGGATACGGAATACGCAACAGTTGGGAGCAAGTGATTGAATCGTGATGAAAAATGGAACCAGGGCGGAGGTATAACAGCATGCCTCCTCTACGGAGCAGGAGTGAATGTGTGCAGTGTCATGACCGTATGTGGTACGCTTACACTACACTGCTGGTGCTGTTGGTGGCCGAGCAATGACATACATGCTCTCTGTGCTTCTGATACTCCTCCAGGATAAGGGTCATGTCGTTTAATTGTCGCATCAAAGCTAGGCAAGGTTTTGGACGCAAACCATCCAAAGCTGAGCCTTCTAGTTTTGTGTCGTTTTCCGCAAAGGGGAAAAAACACGCCGACTAAAGTGGTTTGCAAGACTAGGATCCAAAACGGTTGAGATAGATGGGGGTCAGAATTCAAGATGGGAAGAGAGGTCAGGAAAAGAGCGGGTCGCTGACGCTCCATTTCACAACCAGCTCCTCCAAGTCGTGCTCATCATGATGTTTCTGGAAATGGCAACGAGTACAACAAACCTGCAAGCGACCCTCGGATCGACCTGTGCTCATCAACCATTCAGCTCTAATAAAGAGGATCCCGTCCGTGTGCGCGTGCGTTTGTGTGCGTGTGTGCGATGTGCTATGTCTCTAGTCGGAAGTCTGGAAGTCATGTTGGATGCATCGTGAGGCGTTCTATTTCCAGACTTTCCGTACGAAAAAGGCTGTGAAGACGCAAGAGTGACTCCCGGGAGGAGGCCTTTTCCCCGGGGCCGGCGGCAGGAAAGCTAGTTCAAGGGAGAAGAGTCCAAGTGGGCGAGTAGTGTACACTGTCGAAAGAGGACTTTGTTGGGCGGCTTGTGTGTTCAATAGCGCTCCAGCGTTGCACTTTTGATCAATCTTGACAAGGTTGTGTGGGTGTCGTGACGCGGTGCTGGCTGGGGAAAAAATGTGGTTTCGCTTTTTTTTGATCACGGCATGATTCTTCTGGATGGACGGCGGAGGCCATGCGCTGAGGTTTAAGTCATGGATAAACCCCCCTTTTTGGTGGCATGGAAAGGATGAAAGTTGGAGACACGGAGAAGGGGCCAGCCACTTGGGACCCGCGAATCGACACTGTTGCTTCCGGTCTCTGGAAAGGCGGCTTTGAGCTCTGGTTGGTAGATTGATACCGTACAGGGCATGACTTGGGCTGTGGGCGAGGCTTTTTCAACAGGCTGGCTATCAATGGATGATGGCGAGATGCCCGGCACCAAGCCAAACCCAGGAGAAGCCAAGCAACGCAAAGCCCATGCCTCCTTTTTACTTTTTGGTGGTTTGGCGATAAAGTGGGCGAGTGGTCCCTGTTTCTCCACTGCATCAACAGTGAGGAGGGACATGCTCGACATTGGTAGACATGGCGGAGATGATGGCTACTCCGACGATAACAGTGCGTGGACAACAAGGTTCCCAGTCTTACCTACCATTACCTCTTCTATGCATCCATTTCCTGCGTGAGACACCAGGTCCAGCAAGGGCCGACATGGCAATGCGTTTGAAGAGCGAGGCAGACGGGCAAAGCTGCTCTCAGTCTCCTCATTTGACGCCAAGTGACCTCAGGCCGTGGCAGGGCTCAGACAGCATGAGCAAGCGAAAGCAACAACCAACAAGGCGACTTTCCAGACATTCAAACCACGCCTGGCATGATTGCTGTTGCACCTGGATTTGGTGCCATTTCGATATGTGTTTCGTTATACCATATGCCCGTTCTTATGTTGGCTGGACAAGTTTATGGCCGCAATAACTCTAGGGGGCCTAGGGGGGTGCGCGGTGCGGTGCTGCAACTTCGGACCGTACAAACGAGGAGGGGCCGTACAGTATTGAACCGGGCGGGGCCGGGTCAGCTACAGATATGTATGTAGGTATGTAGCACGTTCTTTTCCAGCATCGGTTGGCGGTCTGTGATTTGCTAGTCCGGTGACGCTGACCTCAGTTGCAATGTGTGTGTGTGTGTGTTGAATCCCGACGGAGGGAAACAAAAGGAGAAGCCGTTGACGGCAGGGATGAAGTCAACATGAATGGATCTCCGGAGGCGCTAAAGCTGCTTTTCATGGAAGTCAGAGATGAAAAGAGAAGCGAGGGGAAAGGTTAAAAGGCTCAATCCGCGTGGCCTGCAAAAGTGTTCGTATCCTCGCCGAGACCTTGATTTTTTTTCTTCTGATCCGCGACTGGGACTGACTGATGGAAACGAGAGCAAAAGACAGCCGAGATACAACTGCAGTGCAGTGACAGAGTGTGTGCCAGTTGAGTGAAAGCAATTCCAGCTAGGAAGAAGGGTGTAGTTTGATTGGTACAAGGGTGCTTTTTGTGGAGCCCAGTCCGTGTGCCCACTGCCTCAACCACCACCACCACCACCATTCTTCCTGCCTGCTCTGCGTGAAAGACAAAGAGTCAGGCACGGTAAGACGCCCACGGGTTGCCTGACAACTGACGAATCAAATGACAGATTATGATCCAAGTACCCAGAAATCAATTCAAGTTGCTTCGTTGCAGGTTGTGCTCACTGCTTACACTTTCTGTCCTGCTCGTTCTATCCCATGGGGGTACAAAGATGGAAAGCCAAGAAAATCGTAGTGGAAGGAGCACCAAGAAGCGGGCCACCACCATGCATCGCTTTCAACAACATGGAAAGAGGCAAGGACCCCGGACCGCCCTTGGTGAGCGTGATCCACCGAAGCAGAGACTCTCCAGCCAGTCAGAGGCGGCGTTGACGCGGAGGGACTGGATCTGCCCGTTCCACACTCAAGCCAGATGTCGAGGGCGAGGCACTTTACGCGACCGGCGGTGGGCAACTGGACGTAGCTGCTGGAGCCTTCTTGTGCTTTTTGCATCCGGGACCCGATTCAGATACGGGCCATGACTGGCCAGCACCAAAACCTCGAGGAAGATTCGGAATGTGCTGACAACGACATTTGGTCATCCACGATAGGTAGTACTTGGCTGAGTGCTGCGTAAGGTAGGTAGATAGAGTAGAGTGTACTGTAAGTACCAAGCCAGAGTACTTTTGCAATCCAACAGCTCTCGGGCTCAGGAAGATCACAAAGAAGCGTAGAAATGGCTTGAATGTAATTTCCATTGCTGGTCAAGTAAGCAGTACATACATAGACGCTTTGGATGTGCAAGCAAAAAAGAGATGTCACCGTACCTCGAAAAAGAGAATGACACTGGCAGCGGGTCCTGGATTCTCGCAGCAGCAAGAAGTGGAAGACGGGACCTGGGATTGGAAAGACCAGACCACAAGGCCGGGGTCCACTAGTGGCAGTGCGGGACCTGCAACGGAGTGACCTGTGGAAGCAGACAAGCATGTCGCAAAGAACGGGACCCGTCCCAACATGGAAACATGGGATCCCCACTGACACGCTTCCCAAATTCACTTTTTTGGTACTCACCCGATACGGATACATACTAGTACGCAACCACGACGGGGAAAGAGGAAGCAATCGAACGGAACACCGTGACGGGACCATGACCTCCTTCATCCCCAAACCCAACATGGATCATGGCAGAGGAAATGGAGGTTTTCACCTCGACTCCTTCTGTTTCCTTCATTATTCTCCTCCTCCATCCCTAGAGATACTAGAGGTACCCTGAACCGGTATCCCTCCCCCCCTTCACTTTGGTTGGGGCATTCAAACAACCTTCGACTTATTATTCATTCTTCCTTCCTTTCAGCCTCAGACTATCATCCGTCATCACTAGGGGGCTTCTCTGTGACCAGTGCCTCACTCTCCCGTCACCACCATTCCATTGTCACCAGAAAGGGTCACGGTGGATGTGTGTGTAAGATAAAGAGGAAGCAGGAACAACGGACATCCACGGCAACCGACCACGCCCACATTACCTTGACCTCGATCGCGAGAAACGACAGAACACGACAGAACACGACACGACACGACACGACACGACGCGGACCCGGACCCGGGCACCTACGACTCGAATCTTCCCCCCTTCTTCTTCCCTCCATGTTACATCCTGTTCTTTGCCAGTCCAGGGCGTCATTCCAGCGAAGAGAGTCGTCCACAGACAAAGCTCCGTTGCGCCCATTGCGCCCATCTTGATCCGAGCTTGTCCTGTCGCAAAGGGAGGCGTTCTCCATAAAGGACTACGGTCAAAGGAGCGACACATCACTTGGCCTGGTACCTGAATTAGGCAGCTCGTCCCCTCGATCCGGTTAAGCTTCAGCAAGTTGCGACTGGAGCAATTTGGAAGCTGCGTCTGAGCCCTCCACACGCGACGCCGCTTGTCCTTTCGCTCCTGCCTTGGGCTGCCGGCAAGAGTCGATTCGAATTCAAAATCGGAAGGTGCGACATACAAAACCAGTCACCAACACACTTCCCGTCCCCGGTTTCCGCCAGCTCAGTTCCGAACTACAGACTCCACCCGGACAAGTTGAGGCACCACGCATTTGAAGGCAGGAAGAGACCACGGCAGAGAAAAAGAGAAGGAAGCATTGTTGTCTAGGTGTCATCATATGCTGGGGTGCTGCCTTCTGACCTCAGAGCTCTGATCCAGATCTCGAGGCCGTATCGTCAAAGTGAACTTGACCCATTGCTCACTTACCAGTCACTTTGTGCAGTAATTCGTTGTCGCCGGATTCTTTCCCCGCCACATCATATCGGCTGTTTCCTCCGTCGTCAAGAACGAAGCTTTCTTGCGGCATGTATCTCGCCAGGACGCGGTGTCAAAACCCTCTCCCCTCCTCGTCGCCCTTCTCAACTCATCATCAGTCTCCTTCTGACCGGTGGACGACCCAATCGCTCGTTTCTGGCTGGCGCCGCTACGGAAACCTCATCAAAATCTCAAATTCAACCAGTGCTGGTGGCCTTCAGACGCCGCCTTACGACGAAGACATGGCTACCACATACCAAGTGCCGAACTTGACTCCTTCGTACGAGCAACATAGATCTTACACACACTCAACCCTCCCAGCACTCTCCAGCTGTAGTGCCAGTGCTGCGTCTCAAAGGCCGCCTCGAGATTTGGCCCACATGTTCAACTCCGAGTCACTATCTTCTTACTCGGATACACAGTCAATTTACCTTCCTAATCCACAGCAACGGTCGACTGCCGCTTCGTCTATCAGTTCGAGTTCAGGTTCAGCACAGCGAGGCTATGCCCAGCAGCACCAGTCACGGCAGCCACCTTCACCACGGCAGCAACAGCAACAGCAATACGTTCCGCAAAAACAGCAGCAGCAGCAGTATCAGCATCAGCACCAGTCGCGGCAGCCATCCTCACAGCGGCCCTCAAGACCGCCCTCACCAAGCCCGATCAAACGAGAACAAGAGATCTCGGCGCGGGACGCCGCCATGGCACTCCACAGCTTGCAGGTTCCGTCATGTATCAGCCCCAAAGGCGGAAGTCTTTCGGATTTCGTGGCCAACCTGACAGCCCTGTTTTGGTTCGAAACCTCAAAGTTACTTGAGCAGGCTGCGACATACGATGCCCTTCGTCCAGGTGCCCCTGTACGGCGGATCGAGGGGCCCGCCATCGCTTGCCCCAACTTCAAGAAATGGGTCCATAACCTCTTGTCAACTACCCAGGTGACACAGAATGTTATTCTTCTGTCTCTCTTGTACATCCATCGACTCAAGGTTCTGAACCCAAAGATGCATGGGCTTCCGGGCAGTGAGTATCGACTGCTTACGGTCGCGCTGATGCTAGCAAACAAGTTTCTCGACGACAACACGTACACCAACAAGACTTGGTCCGAGGTCTCCCAGCTTTCGGTAAACGAGATTCATGTTATGGAGGTTGAGTTCCTGGGAAATATGCGCTACAGCCTGCTCGTTACCGGGAAGCAGTGGGAGGAATGGCTGGTCAAACTGGCTAGATTCCGTGAATATCTGGAGCAAGCGCGACAACTCCCTTCACCAGCAAATCTCTTTGCACCGTCGCCAAACGCACTCCCAACTTCGGCTTTGCCCTCTCCCAATACCGTCCAGCACTTTCCCTCGCCGTTGCAGCCAACTCTGGCCGGACAGTCACCAAGCGCGAGTTTCTATGCGAAGCAGAGCTCTGGCCAAGGTTGGCCGACCCATGCGGCAGGCCAAGCCCAAATCTGGAACCCGGCAAGCACACCGTTGAGCCGAAAGAGGAGCATGCCAGAGTTTGATCTTTCAGAACCACCAGCTAAACGTCGGACGCCGTTGAAGCCATATGCCTCATCGGAGACCTTATATCCCACAGTAACGGCACCTCAGACCCTCAGAAATCCTCGAGACTTTGTCTTTGCGCCGCTTCCATCGACGAGCGAGATTGCTTCAAAGCAAGCGCGCCTGTCGGTGTCAAATTTGACACTGAACAATGCTCAATCATCCACGGCAACTACGCTCCCAGGTGATGTCTATTCCCGCGTCAGCTACGCGCCGGAGAGCATGATTTCTTTGCCGCCCATCCTCCTACCTGCCCCGGGCATGGCTTCTACCTACCTCAACCCCACATCGACGGCTGCTCCCATTCCGTCAATCTTACCGACCAGCCGCTCTGGTGTTTCGCCGTCGACCGCCGTTCCAGCTTCGACAACGGCTCACCCGGCCTCTCAGTATGCCCTACCTGCGAACCACCTACACTCTCAGCACAGCCTGGCCTCAAGCGGAGCTTATCTCGGTTCATCTCCGATCGGCGAGCCGCTCATACATACTCCGATGTCAAGTTCTCCTTCCAACATCTATCTTCAACAGCGGACAAGCCCATACAGACCAGTCCGACACACCGAAACACTACTTCACCCCCCGCCGTCGGCCTTTCTCCAGCAATACCATCTTCCGAACCCGATTCCCCCGACTCAGCTACACTACCAACCACTTGGGCGGCGGAATGAGGTGCGCACTGGCATTGTTCCAGAATTCGCCATGCCCAATAGTGGGTTGACAATGGCAGGAGCCGGCCGGTATCACGAGTCTATCCCTGCCTTTCGTCAATCGTTTTCGTTGCCCTTACGGGACCTTCCACCGACAACATCTGCATATTCACAGCAACCAAGGCGTTAGCATGCAATTTTAGGCATTTAGTTCACGAGGATGATCTGTTCTTCTACAACGCATTGTCTCCCTGTACCACTATGTTTTGCCTCTGGGTCGTTATACCTTTTCTTCTGCATGGCTTGCATTGCATTGGCGTTTAGTTTGGTGGCGTCTGTCCCCATTTGGTCGCATGGTATCTTTCGGAGGCGACAAGCAAAGGGCGTTCAGGCCACAACGCGGCTATTTTATGACTATTTCGAAACGAACTGCTATTCCACAGGTTACACTTCGGGCATCTCTTTGAGTTGAACGAAACCGAGGCCATGGGTCGATTTGGGGTGTATGGCTGGAACAAGAAGCACATAATGAATCTTAATCATGCAGTTCCGACACCAACTTTGGTTTTGCGTTGAATTCGCACTAGTGAGCTTCGGGGTCAGTGGGCGAATGATGAAGGCAAAAAGAGCTGAGAGGGAGAGCATGGAGGAACCAGGAGATAACGAGGATCCTTGATTTGTATTAGCACACATTTGTTTTGCAGCAATACCCTACCCGCTGTGGCAGGATTGGGCGAGGCATGGATAGCGAGAAAAGCAAGATACCCCTAGACATTAGCAAGATACCCTTTTGATTCACACCGCTGACCAAGTTATGTTCCTTTGTGACAAAAATCAACAGATCTTTTCTTCGACGTGTCTTGAACGACACACAGTTGCTGCGAAAGATCATCATGAGCAGGAGGCAGGCAGGTGAGAGCCGCTTAAGGTCGTGGGACTAATTCCCCAGGTCATGATGGTCATGTGCGCCGGTACTGGGTAGTATTTTGGATCCTGGCTCAACTTTCTCTCAATACCATCGGCTGGCACGTACTCTGTGTCCGTCGGCAAGAATCGGATGTGTTTGTGGAATTGCACTCGACCGAGTTCTCAGTGGAAACCCAACCATGGAAGGAGCGCTTTGAGCCTCCAAGTGTGCTGCCGTTGTCGCCCTTTGGGGGCCCTCCTTCGTCAATCGAACAAGCTAGAACATACTACCAGGTGGAACTTTGAACCAGCATTTTAGTGATGGATGAATAACCAGCAATTTCAGCAAGGGAATGTGTGGGTATGTATGACCATCATTGGTGGAAAGGGAGGGCGGCTGCAGCTATCTATCTGGTAGGGGTGGTGAAGATGGAGAAGGGGATGAGATGACACTTTTGTTGGGCGCATACAAATGTCGACTTGTAAGATAGTTGGATTGAGCTACTGGATTCGAGTAGATACTGGGCGGTGTTTTCAGGGAGAGGTTGTAGAGCGATCAGTGAGCGTCTTTCCCGCAATGCAGTCTTGCTGTTTATGCCCCTGGAAGCTTGTAACGTGAAGCGTCTTTACTCAGTCAGGTCAGCTCAAAATGAGATGAAGAGGAATGGCAATCAGTGTTTATTAAGCAAGCCAAATTGTTTGAGTGCTGGGGATGTCTTCTCCACGTCGGTTCGTGGTTATTAAAGATCGAAGGGGCTCACAGAGGGTTTGATGAGTCTCATGAGCATGGGATGGGGGGCCAAACCTCTCTGTTTCTCGGAATCTTACGCGGGTTGGGATGACCTCGGGAAAACCAGTCTGGAAAGAAGCCAAGATGTCCCGAGTGTGATTCTGTAGTTCTGGGAGTTTGTCCTCCTGGTGAGACGGGATGAGATGAGGCTGTCTGGATGACACGGGCTCCATTCTCTCGTGGTGACGAGTGTGAATGAGCACCGAGAAGCTCAGATGACGGAATCGATTGTTTGAGAATGTGTTGAAGTAGCCGATCAGATGGGACTTAATGACTTCTTTTGCGGTTGAATGCAGTGTCAAGTGCGGAATGATGGGAAGGTGCGCGCTGGAACAGCTCGTAAAACATGAGCAACGGCGAATGTGTGGTCTTGGGTAAGGTGAGCCTCATCGCTGCCTTCACCTACATCTCTCTCGCCCTTCCTCCAACCAACCTTCCCAACCACCAAACAACGACGAAGCCGACCGCAGACTTGCTCAGGAGGCATGTTTAATCTCTGAACAAAATGACAGCTTTAGCGCTCAGATTTCGCCCTTGTGTAGGTTTCCGCGCGCAGCTTGCTTAACACTTCTCTGGCTGATGTCTCGATCAGTAGATAATGCTTCCTTAGACGCCCTACAACTCGCCTTGTTGACTAGTCTGCTCCTCATTGTAGCAAAGTCCCAAGTTAGGATCATATGCCTTGCCGGTCTGCAACGTCAACACAAACAAATACCATTCAAACTTTGGAAAAGACAACATTCAATTCATCTTTCCCGGATAATACGGATGGCAGTTTACCACAAACATTACTTGTGACCAATCTACAGTCACATACATATCTACTCTAAGGGTAGACTTAACGGATCACCGTATGGATTTAGAGTTATTGCCAGTGGTGAAGCACGTCCCAACCGCTTGGTCACAGTTCTCCATTGAAGAAGCAGGTTGTTCAACGTCGGCTTCCCTCGGAAGCCAACATCTTTTTCTTTGCTTCTTGACTCCCTCAACAACCTCTCCCTGCCTGCATCATCATCTGTATCTCCCAGTAAACGTTGCAAACAGCAGATTGCAAACCCTAAACCCACCAAACGCAGATATCACGACATGATCGACGGGCCACCAGCCTGTTATCTAAAGACAACAAACTGCCCAAGCATTGGACAAGCATTGGAGGGAGAATTTCATGAGAAGAAGTTCTATACTTAGACCATCCATCTACCGACAGTCACCGGCAGTTGAATGATGCTTCACTTGACATCCACATGACAAGACATGATGATGAATGACAGATAGATGTCTCGCAGGAACGGGCGGGTTGGGAGGAGCCAGCAACAGTGCAAAAACCTGACTACATACCCAACTCGACGGATATCCACAACTATTTCCGTCCGCAACTCAACAGTCCTCCAAGAGATAGCTCGGACCGTGTGTTCACCGCCGGATGGGCTATCAACCTCAACCCAAAGTTCGCCAAGGTCGGGTGGTTGATAGTCGGATCGTTTGATGGATACGATCGTTCGCAATTACGACTTCCTGAAACGACCTATAGGTAGTGTACAGGGAGGCAAAGTGCAAAGTGGAGTTTACGCGGCAGTTACCGACAGCGGGAAGCGATTGCCGATCGATCGTGGATTTCAGGCCGTCTATCGGACGACATGGACATGAACCGATATGGACCGATATGGAAACAGGATGATGGCATGAACTCGAGGGAGCGGGAGCCGGGAGAAACGTAGGAGAATTTGCTGATTTAATTATGCAGTGCAAGCCGGAGTGGGAAAGAAGGAAGTGTAAGTGGAAGGTTCATCCGATGAAGTGTGGTTTGACTGACTGACTGACAACCGGGAGTGATGAGAGGTGCGGTTGACGTTGAGGTGGCAAGTGGAGGATGGAAGGAAGGTGCCATCAACTCCCGTTCGTGCTGGAGACACGCCGATGAGGGTCCAGTGGTCTACGATTCGATCATGCCTTCCTAGTTTGAGATCTTGCCCAGTTCGCGCTACACATCCGGGGGCTCCTTCCTCACGAAATACCCACCGGTGTCCATCCGAACTGGTCACTGGAGCAGAACTGAAGCGGAACTGCGGTGGAACCCCCCACGGCGACGGACCGACACTTTAATACTACTTCACCGAGGACAACTAACAAGTTCACCGGCGTAGCAGCAGCAAATAAAGCGGAGGGCAAAGCGGATGTCCCAGCGAAAGGCCAAGCGGGAAGTGGAAGTCTGGCCTCGCATCTAGCCTCCTCCTCTTCCCGATCGGCATCCGTACGGGATGGGATGTATTCTTGCAACAAGCGAACAGTCGACATCCGAAAGCAAGATAAGGTAAGCAAGCAAGTGAGTTGGTCCGATCGGGAGATATCCACCTTTGAGCCTTTATTTTGCTCCGATTTGATGGTTCAGGTCCGGGCTGGATTATTGTGAGATGGCGATGAGGCCCGGCCGTAGACTACACTTACACACTTACACACTTACACACTGCGTACAGATATCCAGCACCAACCGGCAGCACTGCATTTCCTGAACGCTGGACCACCCACCATTACCGGAAATCTTACCTAGCAAGATCAGACCAACATAAATCCGACAGATTTGACTCCAGCAGTTGGTCGGTGGTCGGTGACAGACCATAGACACCACGGATCTCTTCCCGGCCTCTCACTGGTTCCGTACCTGTCAGTCTTACCGGTCCGCCTAGGTAGCACTTCGAACGATGTGAAAACCCACCCGGCAATGAGATCGATACACGTCGACCGACAAGCCCTTTTGACCGTGCGAACCGGATATATTGGTGGAGACCGGTTGTGCCCGGTCTGCGTGCGTGCGGTGCGGTGGTGCGGTGGTGCATTCGCCGGTCTCTGGGCAGGCGGTCGAGACACGACGAGACGGACCAGACGGACGAGACGCAAGAGGCATGTGTCCGAACATGTGTTCATGCGGCGAATTTTGGAGTGGATTATGGATTTCCTGACCCTGATGCTGGCTGGATAAGTGGACGACGAATGGACGAATGGATAGAATCGCTTTCAATGGACGGATGGGGTCCCGGATTTAAACTTGGCCTCTCTACTATTCGCTCGATGAAGTTCCTGAAACGAGTCTATTTACATTGTTAGTGGCTGGAGACACTATTTACTCAATCCGGGCTTACGACGAATATGGTCTGGTGAGATGGATTGATTGATTGATCTCTTTGATCTTGAGGAAAATGGATTGGATGAGGTGATTAACTGCCTGTCGTCTGAGGTTCGTGCGGGTTTCTTTATCCGTCGGTGTCTGGCCAGATCTTGTTCGCCTCCAGAATATCGAGGACCCGTTGATGTTCAGGGCCCGGTTCAGGGACCAAGAGTGTCTAGAGTCGGATGTGGTGGATGTCCTTTACGTGAGAACGATCCGTTATTCGAGGGAGAAGTAGCCGGACGGAGACTGTGGACTATTGGCACGATGAGTGGACTGGGCAGGAGGGTGGAGTTGAGTGTCCGACTAAAAAGACGACTACCGACTGGTT